GCGATGGCCCCCGGGCGTGAAGCCGCGCGCCCGCCTGACGGCCTGACGCAGTGCGAATAGCGCCGGCCGGGTATGTATCCGCCGCGCGCGACACGCCCACCTCGGCGTAACGCTTAACGCCCGAGCAGGGGCGTAGCGCCCAGCGTAACGCCCACTGACGGACGCGCCTCCTCTTTCCCAACGGCCACGTTATACTGTCACATCCGCCGAAGGTAAATTTAGACGTTTGCTCGGACGTTTGGTGTTAATAATTAAAAATTAAACCCGATAACGAGCATCATACATTTCGACAATTAAAACATCACTTTTTAAATCGCATAATTAACTTTTAAAACTTGCCAGGCTGTGTTTTTCCTTCCCCCTTTCTTTTGAACATGCAAAAAGTTGAGCAGCCCTGTTGCTTCGACACGCACGATTGTTCAGTCAAGTCGCCTCTGGACGCGCTCTGTATGCTCGCGTGCCAATCTGGATCGTGCGCGTCGCCCGGGGGGCCTCCTTCTCTCTATCTCTCTCTCCTCTCGTGCGTCGTCCCATCAGGATCCGAGCCCAGAGATCGCGGGTAAAGGTGAGCACCCCGGAGACCCGCGGGGCGAGGCTATACTTCCAACGTGCGCACAAGTGGAACACTTGGCGCTCTGCAAATAGTCTCGTGGAGAGCGTGTGCGGCGACGCCGGCGGCGCACTTGTTGTGGCCGGACGTCCCGTCCGTCTGGCCGCTGGCCGCACTTCCCGTGGTCCTGTGGCCGAAAGGCGCGGTGCAGTAGAGTATGCGGCCCCGGCCCATAGCGGCGGCTCGCCTGCGACCGACCGCGCCCTTCTAAAGGCGTCTGCCGCTCTTCAATCGGCCCTCTGTGCCGAGCCTTGTGTGATAAGCTCCGCTGCAAGTCAGTGACCGCTAGCTCGCAGGCCGGTGGCCCGCGGCCAGCAGCCCCCGGTCCCTTTCCTTTCAAGGTTCTGTGGCGGCGTTCAGGATGGAGCGGGTCGGCCCACAGAGCGTCTCGCAGGATGTCGTTCCGAGAACGACTGAACGACTTCGTCCAGATGTGTGAGTGTGTGTGTGAGTGAGTGAGTGTGTTCCGGGCGGGGGTCGTGTTCTCTGCGGACGCTCACACTCGGATACGGTTTAGATCGATACAGCGCGGACGCACTCGGAAAGGAAGAGCAGCAGACGTGCAACGCGCATCTCGACCACGAGAACGCGTCGGAGGCGTCGCAACGCTTCTCTTCACCCCGCGGGTATTTTTGATGGTGGAGTAGGGGGAGGGCTTGCGCCCACTCCCACCTCCCCCTGGCCCGCCCAGCTTACCCCCCGCCCCCTTCCCCTCTCTCCCCCTGGCCTTCACACACTGACCCAGAATGAGGGGAAATAAAAAGCCCGGGCGCTAAATATACGGAAGTTCAAGGACAAGAAGGGCGAGCGCGCGGAGGACAGAGTTATTGTGGGCGGGGCTGGGAGGCCCCCGTCAGCGCGCCGACGGCCTTGGGAGGCGCGAAGCGCGAAGACACACACAACACAACACTCGCGCCCCGAAAACACAAGAGAGGTTGGATGACATTTTGTAAAAGTGGGACGCAAGTAAAAATTTTTTTTCTCGTCCAGAGAATGGGATATGCGGTGCAACAACAGTATACAGTATCAAATGCAGGTTTTATCCTTTACAGAAATGCATGCAAAATAATAAATAATTTTTCACCGAAAACTCCGAGTCTTACGCTGAAAATATTAAGTTGACTTCTCTCCGTGCTGTGCACGACGGCGGGGTTTACTGTACTCTCCCCGGGGGGAATGTATTATGACGGTGATAACTTTGGCAGGGTGCATGACATGAGTGCTGGTCGCGCGGTGCGGCCGCGCCGGGCTTTGATCTCCGGACAGGCGTGATGCTCAGAGTGTCGGGCGTGCCGCGCCGCGCCGTGCAGCGTCCCGCCGCGGGCCGAGACTTGCGGTTCTGGGTGAATGGGTGCTCGGCGGGTAAGACCCCGGCGGTGGCCTGCATTGGAAGCACATGAGAGGTGGGAGGGGGGAGGGGGGTGGGGCGAGGCGGCTTTGACACCGCTGTCACTCCGGACCCGGTGCCGTCTCAGCTGCGCGCTCGTCACGCTCTGATGGCGAAATCAGGGCACACACTGGAGGAACGAGACACAGCGAGAGGAAGAGGGAGAGAGAGAGAGAGAGAGAGAGAGAGAGAGAGAAAATTGAATTGAAATTGAACAGTTGATAAGGATCCTCAAAGGGGGCTATGGAGCTCTCTTTTGGGGGGAGAGAGAGAGAGTGAGAGAGCGCTGGGGAATGACAAGAAATGGCTGCAGCGAGAAAGCGTTGTTGTGTGATTATGCAGACTCTCAAGTTCATGCGCAGCAGCGAATCATTAAGGCTCACCCTATCGCTGTCTCTGTGTGCGCTCGTTAGCGCGCCGTCTGGCTAACCGTGGCAAAGGTTGCCGGAGACGGAGTAAGCAAACACAACCGCGACCGAGAGACAACACTACGTTTGCAGGTTTGTCAGGAAAGCACCAACAGTTTCCGAGGTGTACTGTATTCGGAAGCACAAAAACTATCGACTTTGTGATGCTTTGGGATGCTATATTTTTTTTCCGTTCCGCCTGCCTTGTTCGCGGCCGTCGCTCCGTCTGGCACGCCACGCCGCCGCCGGGCCACACGGCGGCCTCCGGTGCAGCCCATGTAGGGATGGACCAGGTTGGTGTAGGTCGCCCGCCCCGCCTCGCCCCCCGTCACATATCTGCCACGTCACATCTCCCAGCAGCGGCCGCGGTCCACGTGAACGTGCGAAGGTGGCCGGAAATTCCTAAATCAAGGTTGTTTTTATTTGATATCCGATTATTCCGACTCGTCCCAAAGACAGGTGGCTCGGTGTGGCGCACGCCTTGCGCACAGACCTGTCGTGGTGAGTCACTAATGACTTTATTTAATCCTTTCCCTCAGTAAAGTAAATAACACCGTAACTTTTAAAGCGCCTGGGCCTGGGGAAGCTTTTGGAAGCGTGACGCTCGGCGCACGCGGGAGTACCCCTCGGCGGCGCGAGGCGGGGAGTATCGCCGATCCTTGACCTCCACTCGGATGCAGACCATGCAGCGCGCGCCAAAGGCCGGCGGCGGTGCGCTCAGAGAACTCGCCCTGCCTGCAGCCTGCAGCGTCTTTCATAAATGCCCGCTTGCTTGATTCGTTCTCATTTCGTGCACAGCGGGGTGTGGGGCGCGTGGTCGTCGGTTCCCTGGACGGCTAGGTTGGGCTGCACACCATATACCCAGGTCCCAGCGCGTGCGTGGGATAGAGCGAGATACGTGCCTATCTTCCTGCTCTCTCTGTCTCCCTCTGTCTCTCTCTCTCCCTTTCTCTGTCTGTCTCTCTCTCCCTTTCTCTCTCTCTCTCCCTTTCTCTCTCTCTCCCTTTCTCTCTCTCTCTCTCTCTCTCTCTCTCTCTCTCTCTCTCTCTCTCTCTCTCTCACACACACACACACACACACACACGTACTCACACACCATACGCCCCCCTGCTGCCTACGCCACTGGCCGCCGTCGGGTGACCTTTCCCTCCCGCCTGATTATCGCTCATCCCCTCCTCCCCTTCCCCAACCTACCCCACCCTTGCCTCTGCGACCCGCCCCGTCGGTGTCCCGATAACCCCGTTCCCTTGGCATTCCCCCGCGTCCCTCCCCCTTTCCCCTTCCCGCCCCCGTAGTGCAGGGCCCTGATGGTGGGCGTCCCCCAAGGGTGGCAACCCTGGCCTTAAGGATCGACAGCGGTGCCCCAAAGTACACCACCTCTTCCTCCCCCGCCCGCCACCCCCAACCTGTCGAGCTTTGTTTTGGCACGACACAGGCCGCAACGGCGATGAGGACATCATCCCTCCCTCCCTCCCTCCCTCGTCACGCGCTATCAGCCTGGAGCCCCTGCCCAGTCGAGGGTAGGCAACAACGGCAACAGACGTGCCTCTGCGTTGCCTAACCAGCAGGCGCTCGCAGAGCCATCGGGTCACGGTGCATCGGGTAGAGCGTCTGATCCACCGCCGATGTTATCACTGAGAGACAAAAATAATGTTCACGATAAACAACTATAAGTAACGAAATTAATTCAGTACTGTTGAACCGCACACGTTAGCGTGCGCGTCAGCCTCATAGCCTCGCGTGCCTTCAGCGCTAACCATTCGCCCGGCGCCCATTCCCTCCAAAAGGCACCGAAATTGCCTTTTGAGCGGCGCCAAGCCCCTCCCCGCCCCACCAGGCGCGCTCAAGCGGGACTCTGCATCCATTCTACGGGAGGCATTGTGTCACTGAGAGCCTCAGCGCGCTCGCGCTGCAGTTTGCCCGTTGTGTTGTGCCGCGTTGGAGCTCCCGCCTGCTATTTCCTCCAATCAGCAAAACGCCCTTCACTTCACGTCGTTTTTCTAGTCGCACTTCTATCAGCCTTTTGCAATGAAGGATAACCAATGAGCCAGAGGAGGTTGGAAAATTTTCCAGAAAAACATGGGAAAAGTGAATTAACTGCACAGAAAAACTAGAATTTTTTTAAAAATTTCTAGGGATAAAATATGCATTTAAAAGCAAATTCCCCAAAGAATTTTCCCAAAATACTTTCTTCTGGAACATTTGATTAACTATTCGGAACCTTCTTCGTCTGAAGTGCCCCTCTCCGAGGCGGCCCTCCCTCCGCGGGCCCCAGCAGTGGCCTGCCTCCTGGGGGAACCGCCCCGCCCTGACCCCCGCGGGGCTGCACTGCTGGGCGCGGCCGGGGGCCTGGGCCTGGCGAGCCCGAGCGATCGAAGGATTCCTGACACCCCGATGAGCCCGCCGCTGGTGCTGGCCGCCGCTCCCGCCCCGCGCGCCCGCTCCCGCTGCGCCGCGCCCTTGGCCGTGCTTCGCCCTGCAGGGCCCCGTGAGGCCCCCCAGGACCCCCCGCAGCCCGTCCGGCCCGCCAGTGTCCTGAGCGCAGCGAGCAGGCGCCATGCGCGCCACCGGGGCCGGCCGAGGCGCCAGCGCCAACATGCATACCGTCATGGAGCACCCCCTGGACGTCACCGCCTTCAGGCCGCGCGAGCCCCCAGTCAGTGCCCTCTGTCTGTCCGTCTGCCTGTCTGTTCGTCTGTCTATCTGTCTGTCTGTCTGTCTGTCTGCGCACTCCTCTTGCTCTCTAGTTGTCGTCCAACAAAATTACAAAAGCCACTACTCTTTTCCCTATAGACCTCCCAATATTCTTTAGGCCAACTTCCTGTACATCTCAGACCGCGCACGTGTGTGTGTGTGCGAACTTTGTTTACGTCGCATCGTAGAGACTTCCTCCTCGCGATCCTACGTCGTCGCGCATGTGGCCGGCATGAAGGATAACTTACAACGAAGGGGTGGGGGCAAGGGCATGGTTGTTTTCATATGCGCTCCTGCAGCAGCAGTGTCATCTTTGTTCTTTTGTTTTGTCAATGTTTTCAATCATTTTTAATCTTGGTTTCCTTTTGTTCCAGCCTCCCAAGATGCCTCTCCTCGACAACTGCTGCCGCTGCGGCACCCTCCGCACCGGAACCATCATCACTGGCTCGCTCGGAATCGTAAGTTTGGACTATCGAAATCAATTATGCACCGAAATTTACAACAAATTTTGCAAATTTTCCCGGTTTAGTGTAGTACACAAAACTGTCCGTCAAAACAAAAACTGATGTGTTTTTCTCTTTTATTTCAGGCGTTGGGGGTGATTGGGCTTGTTTCTGTACTAACAGTAAATAAGCTTCATGCCAATACCATACTCATTGAACTACCAGAGACAGTCGGTGCGTGTGTTTTTAGGAGAACCATTTCATAAACTTTTCGCGTTGCTCAGAAATAAGTAAACCCACTATCTCTCTTTCAGTTCGGATTATTTTGGCGGTTAATATGGTCATGACGATATTCATATCGTCTCTTCTCATCTTCGGTGCGATCAAGGTAAGCAACCCTCCACCACTTACACCCTGAAAATCGCTTCCTTGAAAAGACACGAGGAAATTTTTCTCTTGTTTCAAAGAGTTCAAGACTTTTCTTCAAATTAAGGAAAAATTTTCCTTAAAGAAAAGAGAAATTTTCTTTGTGTTTATTTTAGGTCAATTCCGTTGATTCAAAGCTAATTTCAAGGAAATTCCCTAGTTTCAAAGAAACGATTGTCTGGTTGTATCGTATTTCTTCCTTTAAAATTTAATATCTACTCGATGTCTAATGAACTCAATGGTGCAGAGGAACCGCTGGCTGATGCTCCCCTTCGTGGTGCTTGCGTTGATGCTGGCCATCGGGATGCTCATCTCGGTCCTCTACACCTCGGTGGAGCACTTTGTCAAGAAGGACCCCATCTTGGGCAGCTGTTGGCTCATCTTCGGCCTCATCGGCGTCGGTGAGTACATAGGCGCAAGTGGTAAAACAACAAAACGATGTCTCATTTTTTTTTAGGGAAAACTTTGAGGGACTCCCATGTTTGAGGGAGAGTCCTCCGATCTCGCCTCATATTTTGAGGAATCTTCTTTTTAAAAAAATGAGGAAAAATGCCTCCTGTTTTAGGAGACCTCGAAATCTGAGGAGTTTTCGTCAAACCTGGGGAGTTCCTCAAAGTTTTCCATTTTCCCTCAAAAAAATGAGACATTGTTTTTACCGTGACAACTAGGTCCAACTGACCTACCGCAAAGTTACATTATTCTGAAATTTGGGGATAATTGAAACTGTACTTGTTGTTCCAGTGGTGCACGTGTACCTGTGGTGCGTGGTGTTCAGCTACTACCAGATGGTGCGCGAGGAGCGCGGCCGGGGACCCTACGGCAAGCCGCCCTACCCTCAGCCCCGGTAGACAGTCTCGCCAGGAGGCGACCGCCGCCCTCCCCGTCACGTTCCTCTTCCTCCCCCTTGCATCTGCCGCTCTCTTCTGCCACGCGCCGCCACGGATGAGACGCCCCATCGAAACACCTCCCTCTTCAGAAGTCACTGAAGACGCTCCAGCGTGTTTCCGTTTCATTGAAATGGTAGTTGTCTCCCATGCCTACCGACCACCTGTATTTGTTTTCTGATTTTGTAACATTCTTTTACTAACATCACCAAAATTTTCCTCTTTGAAGGCGTCCTCCATCCTTTGCTGGAGGCTTGTTTTGACTGAGGCATATTTTGTGGATTAGTTCTTTGCTTCCGTCTCGTCTGCAGTTCAGAGTTCCGAGGCACCAGCTATGTCCGTGATGTATTTTCTTGCCTTCTCGACTGTTATGTTATTTAAGGTGTCTGAGCGCGTCACTCAGAGACCGCTTGATGTGTAGTAAAAAGCAGTTTAATTTAT